CACGCACTTTGCGACTATCCTAGTCTAGAAATATAGTTGAGGGCAGAAATTGGCCCTTGGAACAAACTGAAAAAATCATTATGGCCCGAGGGCTTCAAAGTTTGGAGACCCCTGATCTAAGGGATTATATATCTTATTTTCGTCGTTTCAGTATGTGATGGACTACAAGGAAACAAACGAATATTGTCCTAGTTAGGCAAATGATCTCGAATTAGATATGACAAATACATGAGTTGAGAGAAGCTCATGAAGAACCGAGTATGTGATGAATTCTATAAGATACTGGAGATTGATTGAAGCCACCCTTATGTTTCTGAACCTGGAAAAATCAGGCAGGATTAAGCGTATACTTTAAGATCAATCTGACTTATGCTTTTGGAAAAATTGCAGAAGAACTAATCAGTGTATTTTTGAAGAGATGAAACAAGTTGCCGATGAATAGATTGCATGCCTAGAAAACTGTTGGGATACACTGTCGTTATTGTATGGATAACAAGGAGCTGTCTTCAGGAGAATTTTGTCTCCACTGTTATAGAACCTTACAATGAAGGAGTTACTACGTAGGTATTCTGGACTATGATGATTATATAATCCTCGGTAATTATAGGCAAGTAAGACATGTAGCAGAATATGTATATTACAATGAGTTGGAACAAAGAAGATAGTTTGAACAAATATCTAGCCTATAGTTATGATCAGCAAGCGGAGCAAAAGGACTACACCCTCTAAAACTTCTAGATGAAACTATTCCCAGAGGAGGTTAAGTATCCGAAATTTGTGGAACAATAAGAAGGAAATTTTGTTCAGCATTATTTTCTCATAGAAGCCACCCATAAATTGGAATACATACTTCGATTCATTTTTTGATGCCCAGTGATTTCCAAGTTTTTTCACGCATTTTTTGATGATTATTGAAATAGGCTTTATAATTGATAGAAGTTTCTAATATGTCGTTTTACTTTTTATTGCAGTTGAACGAATGGATTCAGATCTTCTGCTCTTGTTGCATATTTTCAAGTGTCTCATCTAACTAGTCTTTCACTTGAATCATTGCATTATGATTACCAATATCTTCATTTTCAGCTAATGAAAGTGGATGCAACAAGTTTCTACACACAAAAAATTTCAGAAAGTTTCGGATTCACAACCGAAGTATGTATCAAGTATGGAGACTACTGCGATGAAGAAGGACAGAAGATATACGACACGAAATCCCCACATGATTTTTATAAGGTAATGGTCAAAAACTTAGCGAGCAGACCCAACTCAGAATGAAGTCGAAGGGATTGAAGAAATTACTAAAGAGCCTACTGTTAAGCCTACTTGTTGATTTGATTTCAGATGTCCAATCGCCGATTTGAAAAAATTGTGAAAAGTTTCGAGCAGACATTTGAAAATTCACATTTTTTTGAATCGGGAACGTGGTCCAAGTAAAATGTTGATACTGCCACTGCCATGCAGAATTAAACATTTTGATATGAATGATTGAGTGAATGAAATATGCGAATCATCTGAAAAATTTGTGTGCATTCCAGGTTTTGGGGTCAAACCACTGTACGGGTTTTAATAAGTAAGATTGAATTGTTGAGTATTTGATTATGTGAAAGTAGCCCCATTTGAGACGAGTTGATTTGAAATATATTCGAAGCTATATTGAACTAGTCGATTTGAAAATGTTTTGAAGAGCAAAGAGTCGATCTTATTGCTATTATGTTCGGTATTGTTTTTATATCAGCTCAAATAAGTTTCAGGAGTGCGATTAATATTTATACCTTCCTGAACTTCGTTGACATTATCTTCGTGTAAAATTTTGTTGAAAGTCTCATAAGTGTTTCAGAACAATCACTCAAAAATAACAATCAAATTACAAGAGAATATAGGTAAGTATTTATTTGAGAAAAATGCAATGATTATCAATAAATCCACGGAACATAAAACAAATGATGAGAAAACTGCCATCGACACTTGTATCAGAATATTGATACTTGTATCACTTGTATCAGAATATTGAAGTTCGAAGAATTTCAATTTTTTTTTCAATCACACGTATTTTATCAAGTCTATCTAGTTATCTAGAGTGAAATGTAACATACGTTGTTGACTGGACTAGATTAAAAAAAATAGTAATTATTTAATTTTCAAAAAAAATTATAATGTTAACATTACATTCAGAAGAAATTGAGGAGTGTTTGATATCTATTTCCTACTATTTTTCTGTTATATAACATGCTGAAGTGTAATGAAGGCAAACTGAAACGTTCACCACAAAAATTACGGCGTAACATCAACTATTGTAGAAAAGTAACTTGTATTCATAAATTTTACTCACAAATTGAAAAATAAATTGAAGGTATATTGTGAAAACGATCTTCCGTTAATTTAACCATATTTTCAACTCGAGTTTGTATCAAGAGATATCTCAATGTGTTGGTAGTTATAAAAGTTGTTCATGTTCATATCTGTAACCGATTCATCTATTTTCGAGACAAATCTGGAACATAAAGTATGGTGTAGTTGTGAGATTTATGTGTTTCTATTGAGTTTGTAATGATTTTAGAATTTGTATATGTTGTTCATACATTCAAAATTCAGTAAAGAACATTGATTGCACCATAATAAGTGGTCTTTCAAAGAATATGCTGATCTGATTTCGAAATTATCAATATAAATCAATATCTGCGACGTTCATGATACTTTCAAAAAACATTCAGAAAAAATCATGTGGTGAGTATTTCACAAAAATGAAAACCGATAATTACTCTATTGGATTCCAGGCAATGAAATATATATACGTGAAAAAATACTGATAGTAATGATTGTATGCTTGGTCATATATAACTGGTAAATTCTGAAAACAAAAAGATTTTTAAATGTTCCTCCATTTACGATTTTCGAAAGCCATTTGAAATTGACTCTTGCTCTTCAAAACAAATTCATTCAATGTCATTTCAATGAAATGAATGACAAGTTCGTGGATAATTGAAATATTGAATACAATCTAAGGTTGTTATGTGTCACCAAACTACCGAAAGTTTGGTTTTGTTATTGTGAGGTTTTCAATGACCAATGAATACAATTTTGTTACTTTCAAGTATACTGTTGTACTACGATGTGGTTGTTTTATCAAGGCAATCATGTAACGGGCTAGTGGTGAAACAATAAAATAATTTTGTTACTTCTTGAGTTTCATTACGTCACGTGAATGTGTGACGAATTGTGGAAATACAAAGTTATGAAGAATTACTGGGTTGTTTTGGGTTTCAATTTGAATTTGCCACTCCTCAGAGAAAAAAAATGAATATGTGGCAAATTTTGGCATGAGTATTGAAGACAATGAATGCAAAATATCTACGAAACCTTAATTTTCTTCTATTTAGATTGTTTGATGATCAACAGATTTCTTTTGATTCTTGAAGGTCGGCCGGACAGTAAGGAAGAAATAAAAGAATAAGTAGAGATGAATCCAAAATACAGTGACAACTTTGACACTATACTTATCGCAAATATTTTCGAATTGGCGTTTGTGTCCATGGATTACTGATTTATATCAGGAAAAAAGCTCTCGGTTTTCTATTTCTCCACTATCAAACAAAACATGTGGAAAACTTTTACAGAGATGAACAAAAACTACTATGAACTACAACGAACATTTTTCACAAAGATATAAGGTACATCTTACAATGAAGGGGTTACTACGTAGGTATTCTGGACTATGATGATTATATAATCCTCGGTAATTATAGTGAAGTAAGACATGTAGCAGAATATGTATATTATAATGAGTTGGAACAAAGAAGATAGTTTGAACAAATATCTAGCCTATAGTTATGATCAGCAAGCGGAGCAAAAGGACTACACCCTCTAAAACTTCTAATCAAACAAAACATGTGGAAAACTTTTACAGAGATGAACAAAAACTACTATGAACTACAACGAACATTTTTCACAAAGATATAAGGTACATACACAGAAGCTTTTTTAGATGAAAACTAGAATGAACAACTCATTCGAAACACAAACTTTTGCATGAACATTTAATTACACAATAAAAAAATCTTTGAAACAACTGATTACACGAAACAAGTCACTTTTTCCATTTAATTCACACTACAAACATTCGTTATGAAATTGATACAGATAGTGAAGAATTAAAACGGGAATATAAAATCTATAGAAATAAACTAGAAAACTAGACAGGCTACTGAAGACTAAAACAAATGATTATTACAAAGCACGCATTAACGAAAATGTGAACGATGCGAAAAAATTGTGAAGTAACATTAATGAAATGTTTGGCTCATGCAAAAATAATGAAATACACCGGATTAAAGACGCCCAAAATAATATCGTTACTGATGATGAACAAAAAGCAACTATTGTCAATAACACCTCCATAGAAATGGGAAAAAATTTAGCAAAAAATATTGTCAAAGACGGTTTAAACGTGCCAAAATAAAAAACAACAAAAAATTCAATTTTTATCCACCCTACATCAGATAACAAAATTCTTATCACAGGTGATTTCAATACAGCAAACTATTCAAACGAAAATCTCATAAATGGGAATCACAACTTTGACAATCTCCATCAATTCAATAGTTTTTATGATCTAAACCAATTCAATTCTCTGCTTAGTATTTCAAATCGTTGTACTTGACTTTGTCTTATCTAATTTTCAATGCTCGGTATCCCACGATGAACTACCCCTTCCAACCGAAGATGGCTATCACCCAGCACTGAACATCATTTTTTAATTCTCATCACCAGAACAAGCAATACCATATAACTCATCAGAAAGCAGGTATAACTTTGGTAAAGCCAATTTTCCACTTTTATATACTCTAATGCAAAATGTTGACTGGTCACCTATCGACTATTGTACAGAAGTTAACTCAGCCACAGAATTATTCTATTCATTATTAACCCCAATTATTAATCAGTGTGTTCCGGTTAGTCACAACTTCATTAGAAAATATCTTCCCCGGTTCAATAATGAAATAATCAACGATATTAAAAGAAAAAACAGAAAACTACAGACTCAGGTATTCTCAAAGAAGAATTCCGATCTCTTTGTCGATCAAATCTGAAAAGGCAATCAAAGAAGATCCTACCAATTTCTGGTCGTACATTCAAAATAAGAAAGGTACATCAAGAATTCCTAGTATTCTATTCTGGGACGATGTTGAATACAACAATGCNTAAACAGATTTTTAAACAGGATCTACCAAATTCTAGAACAAACATATTACTCAAGTCACCAGTTGTTGCAATGAGCAAACTTTACAATCAACTCTGTGAAAATCTCGACATTTATTATAAACCTATTGGTCAAGTTAAGAACTACGTTAAGAAACTTTTACACTCTAGTCAAAATACATGAGCCCAAACTGAAAGTTATTATACCTTGTGAGCTTATTACTGCTACTGTATTACTGCTGAATTATGTTTTTTTTTGTAATACACTTGAACTATGTTTTTACTTGTTAGCTCTATATCTGACTTATGGTTTTTTTTCAATTACTCTCCTAGCTTGCTGCACATAATTTTCCACCTAATTTTTTGCTTAACTCTCGTAAATGTTTACTCTATTTTGTTTTTTGTTTACTCGCTTCAGGTGTTTCTAGTTGATAAATTAGTATTGTATTCATGTATATGTGTATGTATGTATGTATACATGTATGTGTATTGTGTGTATATAGGCAGATATAAAACTGTAACATGCTTGTTAATGATATTAATATGTTTTGATATTGGGATTTATTCCTGTTTATACATAAACAATTTTTTTTTAAATGAAGTACTCGAATTTATAAATAAACTGAAAAATGGTAAATCTCTGGGTATCAATAATATAAAGGCAGAATCTCTCAAAATAATAGCACCTCACATAGTTGGTCCACTCACCTTCATAATCAACAGATGTATATAATCCGGAAAAATTCCCGATGAGTTCAAAATTTCTGTGGTGAGACCCATTCATAAAAAAAGAGATGTCACAGACGCAAAAAATTACAGACCCATTTTACTAATCACCAATTTCACAAAAATTTTCAAAATAATACTGAAAAACAGCCTCTCTAGATATTTGCATAAGTATAAAATAATATCTGAGATGCATTTCGGTTTCAAGGAGGGCAAGTCAACCGAAGACGCTATAACTGAACTCACAAACTATGTTTACCGAGCATTGGATGAGGGCAAACCTTGCATTGGTGTTTTTGTAGATCTGGCGAAGGCATTTAATACCGTGAGTCACACCATATTACTATCAATACTTGAAAATAATGGAGTACGGGATAATTGTCTGGAACTTTTCAAAAGCTACCTTGATAAGTGCTGACAATGTGTTGGAATGAATGAAGCCTACAGTGAGTTCAGGGAAATTGAATGTGGTGTGCCTCAGGGTGCAAGGCTAGGGCCTATTCTTCTCTCTATCTAGATCATTCACAAAAAAACTAAAAAAAAGGCCCTTCATTTAAACATTGGCATTACACAGAAAAAAATCCTTTCGAATCAACTACTTTGATATGAATATTGAATCACACTATTCACTTCTAATTTACTGTTTGGAAAACTTTGGTGTATTGATGAATATTGCTGGAGTTTTATCCCAACACCAAATGGTTTGGTGTTGGAATATATTTTACACAATTCAGTCTGTGATTCAAATATTCGTTATAGAAATGAAAAGGATTTTTTGAATGGAAAGGGGTATATATTTAGGAGTGGCTAATTTTTTGGGGAAGAAAGTTTTTTGGCTTTCTACTACTCCATCTTGATATAAAAATTGAGAGAATCTTCCCAAGAAAAGGAAGGAAGCAATCAATTTCAAAAGAAGTATATAGATCATGCAAAGAAGTAACTTTCAGATTGGTACTGAAGGGCTAGTCCTAAGGAAAGTGTCTTGTGACGAAACATCGATGTATATCAGTGAGGATGACAGTGAACCATGCCATTGTTTTTTTTTTCATTTAATATAGTGTGTGGAAATTCTGTGAACTTATATCTGGTTTTGGTTTAGGAAGAAATGTTTGGAATACAAACTGAGTAGTGTTCATATAAAAGTAGTTGTTTAGAAATATTTTTTTTTTCACATAATTCAATGTTTATATGAAAGTAGCTGTTTCAGGAGGGCTTTTTCTTTCAGGTTGTATCTGAAAGTTACTTTTCTGCATGACCTACACATCTATGTATAGAGTTACTTTTTTTAAAATTGATGTTTCCTTTCTATCTTTGAAAGATTCAAAATGGAGTAGTAGAAAGCCAAAAACTTCCTTCCCTGAAAAAATGCATTAGATATTATTCATGAGAATGCTACATAACACAGACTAAGTAGGAAAAAGTGATTTTCATGTTATTCAATGTTCATATAATAGTAGTTGTTTCTTAGGAAAATTTTCTGTCAGTTTGTAACTGAATTTTTCCACATTTTTTCAGCAGCCAAAGAAGTAGAAAGCCAAAATACTGCGTGAAGTTTCAAAACTTGTGACTTTTTACATGAATGTTGTCCAACGTTCACATCTTGTAATGTTCAAAATTGAAAAATTTTAAAAAGAAATGTTGATTTTTAACAATATCTATACTTTTTTTTTCGATAATAATAGGTCAGAGAGGTTTTCTTCACTAATATTTACTAACTAGTCACCAATCTTACAAAAATGAGATCAATACATTATGTGTTGGAAGAAAAAGTTTTAAATAATAACAGTTCCAAAATACAAATCATGAAATTCTAAAACAACAATAAAAATTAATTGGCGCTCCGGGGCGACTTCTTGGTTCCAGTGGCGCATTTGCTTTTTCAGCTGCAAGACAAGATTTTCAGGACAACTCTCTACTGATTCGTAAGGAAAAACATGTTTCACAGAATCTGCATAAGAACCATTTCTCAAGCTGCAATCAATCCTTCCAAGTAATGAAGAGTTTCGTAGAGGGATCGATTCGGCTCTTGCTTCATGAAGCTCATCCACTGAAAGGGAACTAGAATCACTAGAACTGCAACTCATATTTGGGGGTAAAGAATGACTTGAGTTCATTGATCGCACTGAAAAAGAAGAAGGTGGATCAATCACTTGCGAATTAACCTTGATAGGATGAATATCCTCATATTTCGGCTTGTTTCGAAGAGATTTTAGTTCCTTACTGAAATGAGGGTAATGCATGATCTCATCAAAA